GATTCATTCTCACTATTGTCATTTTTTTTGTAACACCATAGGAAAAAAATCACTCCTCTAATTACTCACTCTGGTGAACATACTCTGTCTCCAGTGCTACCCAGATGCTGTTGCTGTGGGATAAACTGTGTTAATATGGCTCAGTTTAATAAATAAGGTCTCAGAGCTCCTTGAACTCTTTGTTACAAATAATCCAACAGTTTTGACTGCACTCGGGCATTGATCTTATTCTGTTTCCTGTAATGATCTTCTGTGTGCACATTTTAGATCTAGTCATTTATTTCACTCTGATTATTCAAACGAAATGACAACATGGTCTCGCATGCCGAGGGACAATCCACAGACCAATAGAACTCCTTCTTTTTGTGCATCCTGAATAATAAGGGCGTTTCATTCCTCTTCAAGAAAATTAAGACAAGCAACTCCATTCTGAATTCTATTAGATTTACTTCAGAGCTGCATCGGTAGCCTTCCATTTACATACTCATATATGCATAATGCAGATATCCATGTTCTTTTAGCTCAAACCAATGTTATCTATTCCCTTTCACTTCAGGAACCTTTATTAGTCTCCTCTTTAAAACATAGCTCAAAATTCAACTTACATGAAAACATTCTGGAATTGACTCTACTTATTCATCATTTTTATTCAAATTCATGGGAAGTTTCAAATATACACAAAAGTAGAGAGACTGTGGTAATGAATACTAGTCGGGTAGTCATCACTCACACTGCTTCAATAGATTTTAACATGTTGTCACTCTTGGTCATCTGCCACTCCTCTTACCCTTAAAGAGATTTTGCTGGAGTATTGTAAAGCAACTCCCGGGTAAGATATACATCATCCATAAATACCTAATATTTTTAAACATAGCAAGAATACTATTATAACACTAAACAAAATTGAATAATTCATACCATGTCTAATATTCATACCACGTTTAATTTCCCCCCGTTGTCTCAAAAATGCCTGTTTACAATCAGTTTGTTCAAATCAGGGTTCATAAACGTCTCCACATTGCATTTGGCTAGAATATTTCTTCAGTCACTTTTAATCTAACAATTTGAGCTCCCTTTTTCAGAGCATTTATTTGTTGAAGAAACTGGCTTTCTTGATCATCTTTCCAACATTCCCTCAGTATTGATGGGCTGAGCTTGCCTAGCTTAATTTATAAGTAAGCCACAAAGTAGTCATCTGAATGTCTCCTAGGTTTTCAGCCTGCTGGAAGTAGCCTGTCCGTGACCCTTAACTTCTGTGCTTCATATAAATAAAATAAAATTTAAATAAAACAGATGGATATAATCAGCGTAGCGTTGAAGATGGAATTTTACTTTAAAATAATTATTTTGATACATGCCAACCTCACTAAGAAGCTTTCATGGTCATTTTCATGGTAATTCATCCATAGGGCAACATGGGTTTTGGCCCTTCTTCCTAACAAGGCTTCAGCCCAAAGAAAAGTTGCATAATCATTATACACAAGATATGCATCCTGCACCTGTAAATACAAATACAGTTGTCTGGGTATGTGTAGCTTTCTGGTGTGCAAGGAAACCATGCTTAGGATGACGCATCTTTTCTATAGTTAAAACCACCCTGGTTTCAGTGTCTTAAAAATGATTTTTAAGATTTATAAAGTTGAGAGACCAGATGGTTTCCTTTCCAAACATTTATGTTTTCTTCACCCTAATAGCAGGAAGTTCATTTCAGATTACATTCCTGTGTTTGAATTGTTCTATTTCCTCCAAGTCAGAATAGAAACAAGTTGAGATGTGTGATAAACTTCAATATATTGTACAAATGGTACCGTTGCTACTTGTTTGGATCACACTGCATGAGTAATTCACTCAAGGTACTCTGTCTAAATGCTCAGATAAGGGGAGTGACGTGCTGAGTGGGTTTCTGAGGACAGATTTGGGAATTTTACACATCGTTTCTTTTCACCTACTTGAGATACTTTTTGAGATTTTACATACTGCAGGTATATAGGCTTTAGACTTATGTAAATGGTATAGATTTGCCCAGAAGAAATTAGTTTCTGGAATTGTATTGATAGTGGTTTTACTTTATTTTATTTTGGTTTTTTGGTGTCCCTTAATGTGACGATGGTTGGAGCAATTATGAAATAAAATTTATAAAAGAGAACCTTAGAGAGAAAACCTTAATGGAGAACTTAAGGCAATTTCATTTAGTTTAAAAGATTTATAGTCAAGTCTCTATTTCAGAGAACCAAATTGGGATGCTTAGATAAAAGTAGGCTTATTTCAAAGAACATACATTTAATTTTGTAGTTTTCTTTCAGTTATAAACAGTGTGACCCTCGTCATAGCTTAGAGTTCTGATGGTCAAATTTCTTATTTTCCAAATTAATCATTCTTGAGGTTCCTACATATTCTGATCAGTAAAAGCCTCATATTTTCCTCTTTATCCATCCTTCCTCTTGAGCATCCTTGGGCAACTTTGCCCACAAACTATCAGAGCTTACTATGTATAAACTGTTTAAGCAAGTGTAGAGAGAATTGCAAAATCACGTCAGCTTATTAATATACTGCATTTTATGGATTCCTCCTATACCAGTCCACAGATAACATTCTTCCAAGCTACATGGGTGCTCTTTTTAGTCCACTCCTTGTACTCCAAGTTTAAGCTCCCCTTAGTTCATTCCTACACGCTCAGCCTTTGTTTCCCAAAGCTTGGCACAGTGTCAGGGTGATTGGGGTACCAAAGGACCTTCAGTTTTAGTAACAAGTCTCAGGTAAACATATCCTAGTGACTCAAACACTCGGGCTCATAGGCCTTAAGCTTGAATGTGCATAAGGATCATCTGAGCAAATTGAAAATAAATGCATTTTCCTTGACCTCACACACAGAGATCTCATTCAGGAGCTCTGGAATGAATCTAAGAATCTTGAACTTTAACAGCGTTCCAGGTGTTTCAGTTGCCAGTGGAAATACACTACCTACTGCTGCGTGTTTGAATCATCAGGGAACTTTAAAAAGATGTTAATGCCTGGCACCCTGTCCTCAACCAATTAAATCAGAATGTTGGAGTCTAGCAAGGGCATAGACATTTTTTCCAAAAGCTATCCAGGTGATTATCATCTGCAGCTTGAGTTGAGAGCCTCTACCTTACACTGGTCTGATAACCACAGTGCACCAGACAACTCCTCTCCCAAGTGGTGAGAGTCTGTTTGGAGCACTTAATAATTTTTCCTGTCACGTAACCTTCCTAAAGGCTACCACAGTCCACTCAACCAGGGTTTCATATCTGTAAAATTCAGGGACCGCTGTCTAGTCATACAAATTGGCTCTTCCAGTGTTGTGCGTATTAAATGAAGAGATATCTATAGCTAAGAAATAGGTGAGTTTTCACCTACATTTGCACAATTATGTAACTTTTCCTACAGCAGTTACGACAAGTTGTGTTCACCTACACAGAGAAAGGCTTCCTTTGCTAAAACTGTTAAATCTTTTTACACACCCCATCACACAGTCCTATACTACTGGGTGTTAAGTTTTAGCGTACAGATCCAGAGAGTCTTGTCCAACCTGGGGCCCTGTGTGCACTAACTGTAATTTAGGATCAAAATGCCAGGCTCCTTCATCTTAGTTTCATGATGATAGAATTCTGAGCAGGGCAGAGACCAGCTGCAGTGTCAGCCTAGACCACAAACCTGAAAGTGCCATGTGAATCAGTCTGACTGGGCCATTTAAGCTAGTTCAATGAAGACTTAACTTCAGGACCGAGGTCTAAATGTTTCATCTGCTTCCTCAATAAAAAAATGAAGTATTTCTAAAACCAACAGTGGGAAATGGCTGAGGGAGAAACAGAACTTAAACATCACTTGCTCTTTTTCATTAAGACCTGTTACCTTTAAGCAATTCTACATTTATGTTCAGTACGTAATAAAACTATGACTTGGTTTAAAAAATTCAGTAGAACAATGTCTTGGGGAAAATAATATATATAAACCAAAATTATTTGACTGTTTTTGGAGAGTCCATATGTAATTGTTGGCAATGTCAATTATGATGTGATAGATTAAGATTGCTAGGGCTTCCCTGGTGGCGCAGTGCTTGAGAGTCCGCCTGCCGATGCAGGAGACGCGGGTTCGTGCCCCGTTTCGGGAGGATCCCACATGCCGCGGAGCGGCTGGGCCCGTGAGCCATGGCCGCTGGGCCTGCGCGTCCGGAGCCTGTGCTCCGCAAATGGGAGAGGCCACGACAGTGAGAGGCCCGCATAACGCAAGAAAAAAAAAAAAAAAAG